ATTTATATATAAATTAAAACTTTCCGAATATAATGAAAATTTATAAGTAACGTAAAAATATGAAGGAACATCTGTTGGTCAGGCTGAAAAGTTTGGGAACCACTGCTCTAAGTGATAAGTGAATATTGTTTCTTATTATATTTTATGTGCAGTTTTTTAGGGTTTTTATGTTTTCTGTAAAGATCTGTATCCTGAAACTCATTTCATGTTTTGCATAAAGCATGAGGTTTTGGTTTGTAATTTATCGGGAGAATAACAAATGACTAAATTAAATAGTGGGGCGCCTCTGTCAGTGCGCCCCAGGGCAGCTGTGGCTACATCATAGCTCATCACCATCAGTGTGTGAATGTGTGTGTGAATGGATGAATGATACACTGTAGTGTAAAGCGCTTTGGAGTCCTTACTCTGAGAGGCGCTATACAAGTGTGGATCATTTATCATTTATAGTGTTGATCAGGTAGAGCTTTGTTGCCAGCGTTCAACTGCATAATGGCTTCAAACACGTATATAAAAGTGTTAGTTTTTACGTAAACCATTGAAATTACACAAACTGACTGAGCTCTAGTTAAGGGGCTTGCAATAGTTTGTATTTGTGTACGTGTGTGTGTGTGTGTGTGTGTGTGTGTGTGTGTGCGCGCGTGCGTGTGTGTTTGGGGGAGGGTACATTGGAACTTTGTCCCCCCCAGTTTGAAAATCCTATCTGCGCCCCTGCCTACACCCCCAGCAGGTCCCTGAGGTCCAGTGACCAAAGCCTACTGGTTGTGCAGCACCAGGCTAAAGACCAAAGGTGACAGATCATTTGCTGCTGTGGCCCCCAGACTCTGGACCTCTCTCCCCCTGAGCTTGAGATCAGTGGACTCAGTGAACTCCTTTAAACTCACCTGTTCAGGCTTTGGTGTGACTTTCATCACCCTCTCCTTATTCCACTATTTAAACTTATCCCATCTTTCCCCACAATCCACTGATTTCCTTCTTTCCTATTCATGTTCTCCCTCCTTTTCCTTACATAATTATTTTTATCACAATTTTTTCTCTAATTTTGAATGTATTTTTAATAATTTTTGGAAAAGTTTTTTTGTGATGCACCTCGTGATTTTTATCTTGAGAAGCGCTATATAAAGGATTATTTTCTTTCTTTCTTTCTTTCTTTCTTTCTTTCTTTCTTTCTTTCTTTCTTTCTTTCTTTCTTTCTTTCTTTCTTTCTTTCTTTCTCTCTCTCTTTCTTTCTTTCTTTCTTTCTTTCTTTCTTTCTTTCTTTCTTTCTTTCTTTCTTTCTTTCTTTCTTTCTGGGAGGTAACTAGTATTCCCACCCCTGCTCAGCTCCTCTCAGTGGGAGCAACTCCAGAGTGTCCAGCCCCTCTCAAGGAAACTGGTTCCGGAGCCAGAGCCAATCATCGAGGTGAGTCTGACTATATCTAGTCGGAACCTCTCAACATCACACACCAACTCAGGCTCGATCCCCGCCAGAGAGGTGACATTCCACGTACCAAGAGCCAGCTTCTGTAGCCGAGGATCAGACTGCCAGGGTCCCCGCCCTCGACTACCACCTGTCACACACTGCACCCGACCTCTTTTGTTCCTCCCATGAGTGGTGAGCCCATAAGAAGGGGGACCCCGGTGACCTGCATCCAGGTGAGGGAACACTATTTCTATGTGTATTTTTCTTTAACAAACAAACAAACAAACATAATAATAACAATAATGATAATAATAATAACAAAATGACAATAATCATAATATTAAAATAATATTAATAAAAATAAACAATGAACATAATAATGAAGACAATAACAAACATAACAATAAACACAATACTATACATTATTATAATAATAACAACAATAGCAAACATAATAGGCATAATGAATATAGTAATAAACATAAAAAGAAACATAACAATAAAAACAATAAGAAACATTGTAACAAACATAATAAACATAAGTAACACAATAACAAACATAATAAACATAGAAACAAACATAATGTTACATTATTAACTGACACTTTAATAAACCTAATAAACATAATGAGCATTATAACAACAAACGTAACAACAACAAGCATTGCAAGAAACAATAATAAAGACAAAAAACAAACATAATAAACTTAATAACAAACATTATAGCTAAATAACAACAAACATGATGAGCTTTATGTTAATCACAATAATAACCACATTATTTAGATATTATTCAGGGACCCAGTGGCTCACCTGCACCAATAGGCACGTATCATTTGCATCTTTGATTGCAAAAATGTTATCAGTGTAGTGTGATATGATATGACTAGGGTCTCAGGGAGCTGGTGTCCAACTGCAACGGTCTCCAGGCTAGAGACAGGGGACGTCCTGGACATCTTCCGCCCATCACAGGCAAATCTATATGTGATTTAGGATTTTACAACCAGCTGCCAACAGCATTAATCTGGTGCAAACAGACATCTTACAGACAGCATCAGGTGCCTTTAGCTGTTGAAATTTAGGAAAAATGATCTGTAAATAGTATTAAAACGACCCTGTACACAAACCTCTGTGTGTGACATACTCGGGCCTTTGAAAGCTTTGAAACTGGACTGAATCAGAAGGAAATCAGCTTAAAAACCTGTTTTCCATCCCGAGAGTGACTGGTGATTCCAAATGACTGTGTGAGCCTGCCATGGTGAAAGGTTTGTATCGATGGAGCTCATCGCAGCAGAACGTTGGCTGTTTCCACATTCAGTTGGAGGAAATGAAAGTTTTCATGTCGATGTGTCGACCAGATTGCTCAGTTTTCTGCACACATTCTCCACATGCTTCAGCGTTTCGACGGATGGACGGACGCACGCACGCACGCACACGCACGCACGCACGCACGCACGCACGCACGCACGCACGCACGCACACACACACACACACACACACACACACACACACACACACAAGTGTTTATTGTGCAGATCTTTATCTGAAAGATGTTTTCTCCACCTGGTGAGGCTGCAGTTAATGATCAGCCTAAAGTGAAACTACCTGCCGGAGTACAAAGCAGATCAGGAGATCTGCAGGTGCACCAGAGGAGATATGAGGGGATAACCTGTAAATCTGATGCTACCTTTATTTATATGAGTTAATTTTCTGCAGCTTTTAAATCCCATTAAATCACAAAACCTAAACCCCGAGAACTAGAACATAAAACAGACCTGACATCACAGTTAGCTGAAATGTTCAGGAATCCGTCTCTCCTGTGCTGTTTCTGTGTTTAACGACACTTGAAAAGTGCATCCATGCTTACCTGTGTGCTGACGAGGGCAGAGTGTCACAGAGTTTCGGTCAGGGCGAGTGGATGAGAGGCAAGGGAGTCCCCTGGTATGCAGGGCACCTCCTGCTGAAGGAGAGAGGCACATTCCTAGTGCCAGTGCGAAAACTTTCCCTCTCAGTTCAGAGGAGGGAGAGAGAACGGGATCCCTCCCCCGTCCTCTCTCTGGGTTTCTCTGAGTCTTCCCTTTTGGCAGCAAACCAGATGAAACCATCCTGGAGTTTCTGCAGCATGAAAAGCTTTTCATCAACTAAAAGTTTAGTTTCCCCCTAATTATATAAAAGATGTATTTTAAGACACATTTGCACAATAAAATATATTCATATGCAGTTATTTTGTCAAACACTGCAGTAGAGTGAACTAGCTGAATAACCTCAGTGATTCCTTCTTTAATAATTTGTACTTTTGCATAAAGCCTGTTTATTTTCTACCCCTGATGCTTTAACGTTTATTAAAGTAAATACTTCAATTAATGAATGACTGAAAAATCTATTTAAACAAAAGGAAAAGGAACTTTCATGATGGTGGGATGTGCACATTCTTGCAGGTGGACGGCGAGTGATAATTCTTTTTGCCTCTGTGTTTGGCTCACATCTCACCAACAACACCACAGATTTGAATGAAACTCGTTAAGCTCGTTATAGCTGGCTGAAATCAGCCATTTTTTTTACAGATATGAGGCTGAAATGTGTTGTGTTGGTATCTGGGAGTCGTTTACCTCGATAGGTCCTGTGATGCTTTAGAAAGTCTGACCATCAAACGGGATCATCTGCGTTTTAAAGCTGCAATAGCAAATCTACGGAACAAGCTCTGAAACGCAACCACAGTCCGACCCCCCCAGGTCATGCAGGAACCTGCGGTCGGAGGAAACGAGAGAGCGCTAAACACCAGTAACTGTTTTCTAGGTCCAAGCGTCTTTTGTACTCCGTGACTTCAATGGTGTTTTTCTTTATGGGACTCTGGCAGTTTGTCGTAAAGTTGAAGTGGTTTCTTTGTCTGATGTTACTGAGGAGAACCTCTCACACCAGTGGTGTTCTGTTGCTCGGTGTGTGAGTGTGTTCACAGGGAAGTGCTGCGGTTCAGCAACACAGACGATCCTGTGGTCCGGTGGCTGTTTTCAGCCTGAAACATGATATTGGTGAAGGTTTTTAGAAAAATGCAAGAGGACCACTTTATTTAATCATATTTATTACTATACTATGCAGAACTTTGTTAAGAGGCACGAAAACATGTTTTAAGCTAATTTGTTTCCCATTTTGCCCTTGCAGCTTTTCTTCCTTTAAAATGTGACCTTCATCATCAGCATCTCTGGGTAGATGGATGCAGGTATGGATTCCTCCTGTCCTTGTGAGAAGCAGCATGAAGGCGCCCCTGACCTCAGCAGGCTGATGTTGGGGTTAGGCCTGATCTCCTCACCGCCCTGCTCCACTCCTTAGTCTGACGCGTAAAAACTCAATTTGGCTCTGGGTTGGGCTGGAGCTGACAATGAGTCTCTCTCTCTCTCTCTCTCTCTCTCTCTCTCTCTCTCTCTCTCTCTCTCTCTCTCTCTCTCTCTCTCTCTCTCTCTCTCTCTCTCTCTCTCTCTCTCTCTCTCTCTCTCTCTCTCTCTCGCTCTCTCTCTCTCTCTCTCTCACACACGCTCTTTTGTTATCTTCACGGAAGAGGCGCACGCTCCCATGGGGCATGTTGCTGCGCAACCGTAAACCCCGCCCACAACGGCACCTGAGCCCTTCGCATGTGACCCTTTCCAGGAGTTCGTCCAATCGGGAGCCAGCACAGGTGCCTGTTGAGGAGAGTTTCGGAGGCGGAAACCTGCTGGTTCAGAAGAGGTGAGCCGCTCCTTATAATTGTGTCACTCCTGCTGTGTTCTCCTCACGCGCTGCTACAGGACAGGAGAATAGTTTTATCCGGAGATACGTTAATAATAAACACAAACATTTGGGTGGCGGGGTGTGCGGGAGGACGTCACACCTGGCTCGTGCGTAAAATGGATACTCGCGCGACGCGCTGAAGGACTCCTGATCCAAGTTCCCAGACAGCAGCGGATGTTAAACGAGTTGGGAACATCCCAGGAGAGTCAGAAGCCAGAGATTTCCTCTTTGGGGTTCATTTAAGTTTCATCTCCTTCCTTCACAGCTCAGGTGAGTCCTCCTCACAGCTCCCCTCCTTGTCTTTGCTCCAGGTGACCCACTCTGTGATTTACGCATCTGTTCTCACCACTCATTCAACCAGTTTTACAGACTCTAAAAACGGTCACACTGGTTATTCACGAGATTAGTGGTAAGACTTAGTCTCACCTTCAGCTGTAAAGGAACGTTCAGATGCTGATGTTCAGAGAGGATCCTTAAACATCATTTTTGCAGGTTTGTGAGGATGGAGATGCAGAGCAGAGCTAAATACACAAAAGGAGGTTTGAAGGAGCTTCACTTTTCCGGAGGAATAACTTTGTTGTGCTGAATTTTCAGGGCCAAGATGACGGAGAGGACACCATGGTGGAAAGCTTTCCTGCCAAAGAAGAAGAGTGGATCTACCAAAGAGTCAAACCACGTCTTTGGGCCAGACTTTGACCCCTTTGCACAGAACCAAAAGCAAAAAGACCCCAACGTGTCCTCCAAGAGCTCTGGGGGCCAGAGCCACTCTCAGCATGAGTCCAACAACTCATCCCTCATCAGCGACGAGACCTACGACGACTCCCAGCTGTATTCGGTGTTCAACGAGCAGACCTGTCGCAGGAACATGAAGGTGTCACGCTCAGGTCGCTTCAAAGTGAAGGGCAAGGTGCGCTCGACCCTCCCCATAGAGGAGAGGGAGAGAGAGAGAGCGCAGCCTCAGGGAAAGACGGCGTAAGGTGGCAATGAGGAAGAGGAGGAAGAGGATATGACAGACTGCTTCACAGTGTTTTCTGTAACAGAACGGGAGGGATTTAAACACATGGAGACGCTCCGTGTGAACTACGGGATGATTGTTGGAGTTTTATCTGAATAATGCAGATTTCTGAATATATAATGATATATTTTTAAGGTTTTTGGACTTTTGACGATGGACTTGTCCAAAAGGGTCACAGAAGGAATGTTTAATGTGTGTTTTTAATATATAATAATAATTACTGAACTCATCTGCCTGCAAAAGTCTCAAAGATGGTTGGAAAAGCAGGAGCACTTATGAATGCAGAAGGTTGTCCTGGGAGTCTAGTTTTTTTTGGACAGCTCACAATCACACAGAGACGCCGTCTAAATCCATCGTCTTTTTTTCCACATGTGCTTCAGAACGACCAGAAGATGTTCACCAGAATTATTCTGCGGTGTCTAGAGTAATGCATGTCTATCGATGAAGGATGATCCCGTTTGCTCTGAAGGTTTTTAGTCTGACGCACCAGACAAGCAGAGATGGTTGTGATGAAGGATTCAACCAGACACAAGTCAGAGGTTGCTATTTACAGAAGGTCTTTATTTTAACACGTAGGGCTGAAGGAGATGGGGATGTTTAGAGTAGCAGCTTGCACCTGTGAAGATGTACATGAAGGCAAAATGATAAATAAATCTGCACCGGCTGACTCCATGACAGTGTGTCTGTGATTTATTATGGTCTGTTCTTAACCACAAAAGAGTCCAAATGTCAAATTATGTCCTAGCTTTCCGTCTAAAGAGGGACCATGCCTGTGTCACTGCATTCCTCTGCCACTGTTGCATTTTAAGGTGTGTGTGTGAGAGCATGTGTGTGTAAGGGTTATGGCAGATTAAAACTATAAAATCACATTAGGGTTTTTAAATTGCATGTCCACAATTGTCTCACGGTGGTTTAAAGGACAACAGGTTAAACAGGCTGGACTGTTTGAAGGTGAATGTGCACAAGAGTGCGAGGTGTAATGGTGCACTTTCAACGCCAGGGGGCGCGCACGTGACTCTGGGCAGACAAAGACCTGACTAAAAGAGTAGAAACAAACACGTTGATGTTCTTACACCGACTCTTTATGGTTTAGATCATTTATCATTAGGATGTGATTCAAAGCTGCACAAGACTTTAAAATGATAATTGCCCATTGGTCCAGTGTGTGGTGTGTGTGTGTGTGTGTGTGTGTGTGTGTGTGTGTGTGTGTGTGTGTGTGTGTGTGTGTGTGTGTGAGGTGTGGTTTGGCTCTGTGCGTCTCCTGCAGTGGCTCTCAGAGAGACAAACAGCAGCCTCTGAGCTGGACAGCAGAGCCGCTGACAGACTGAACACAGACGTCAAAAGAAGACTAGAACTTTTTTGGACATCTACAGAAGTTTCTAGATTGTAAATCCAGCGACTCAAAGGTCTGATCTGTGGTGTCCTGCAGCAGGTGACTATAAATAACTCTCTCACTGCTCCGTTATGAAGAGCCACCATGAGGACTGAAGCGTCCAACAGGAAGGTGGATTTGTGATCTTTACAGAAGGTAACAACATTTGTTTTGTTGTTTTACAGAAATGTAGCAAAAATCTGTGTTTAAAGGTTAAAAAGGTGTTTAAGGTGCAATTAGTCATCAATAATGATCAGAAAACCTTTTATCACTGTTGTGTTTGTTTTCATTCCTGTAACTTAAAAAACAACAACATGCACATTGTGCACCAAGCATGCATTTAAGTTGGTTAGAGTGTGCTGTGGCCTTTGTTAGTGGTTCATTACAAGGTTCAGACATGGGAAGTTAAAATGTCTCCGTTTGGTTTGGAGCCCAGCAGCAGGTTTCCATCTCATTAAGACATTATTCAGAGTTTAAACGTTAGACTTCATGTCACTGAACAGGAACGTTGATGTCGTTTTTGACAATAGGACTTGTGGTTTAGACGCTCAGAAAATTTAAGCTTGGTGCTTCGTGCACATCCCCGTCTGTGAGTGTGGTGCCAGGTCATCCAGCGTCTGACCCATATCTGGACGTTTATCTCACTGATCAGCATCACTCTGAGTCATGTGATCAACTGTCACTTCAGATCTAATAAAACTGTCACTGGAGGGGATGTTATTGTCCCTGTTTAGGTGACTAAAATAAATCCTTGTCTGTGAGTCCCTAATGATCTCCTCATCAAACAGACGGTTGTTTTACAAGTGACGATAAAACAGGGTTTCTACCTCTAGAAACATAAGAATGAATGAATGAATCACCCAAGGGGTTGGCTCTCACCCCCCCCCCCCCCCCCCCCCCCCGGTCACCGGCTGTGAAACAACCTGTGTGGTTTAAACCAACATGAACAAGCTGGCTGTGCAGCGCCCTGGCTGATAGGATGGGACCTCCACAGGTCCAGACTGGCCTCGACACAGATATGAAGATAGAAATAGCTACAGTGGACAGTCTGCCAGCTGCAGACGGGAAAAGTACTCATGCACAGACACACACACACCACACACACACACACACACACACACACACACACACACACATTGGACAAACAGGTCTTGTTCAGTGTTTACTGACGAGGAGCAAATTCCACACAGAGGTGAATTTGCACATCTGGCGGATTTCTAATCAGTCATGAGAACCAGCATATGGGGATGAGTGGAGGTCCTTCTTATTGGTGCAGGGTTTATCCACAATCCAGCATGCTCTTGGTCCAGCCTAAAGACATCCTGAATGCTCCGTAAACATGGAGTTTAGTCTTCCTTTGGACTTTCCTTCATGTTTTCCGTCTAAACTGCAGTAAAGGCCTGTCATCACACCCCCACTGGAAGGGTGAGGGTCCATTACTTCACAAACAACACTCACCATTGTTCCCATCCCCAAGTTTCACCACAAGGCATTGTGGGAAGAAGAGTCAGTCGAGGCGGAGGGTTGCGTCAGATTTCTGCAGAGAGGATGGAGGGCTTTCTGTTTCCTGTTTAGAACTGCAGACACTTCCTGTTCAGGGGGAGAGGGCAGGAGGTCATCAGTTGTGACCCCTCACACAGTAGCAGAGCGATGTGGTCATGAGTGTGTGTTATTCACAGATATCTGAAGCATGCCGGCTCCACCCCCTCCCCCGCCACCTCCCCCGCCTGCCCCCCCTCCCCCACCTCCACCCACTGCTGCCCTGCCACAGGTGAGTTTGTCCTGTCTCTGAAGCGTCCTCATGCATTTGTAAACACTTCGCATGTCCTTTTTGATGACACCTGGGGGTAGTTTGCATTATTAATTGAGACACACACACACACACACACACACACACACACACACACACACACACTGGACAACGAGCAGACTCTCAGAAGCGGGAGTGGGGGGGGGGGTGTTATGTTTCCACGGTGTCCTCATGTTCGGTGAGACACGATGATCTAACGTTGCTCTGCCTCTCAGTCCGCCACCGCAAACTTACTCTTAAAAGTAAAATAGGAGCCTCTCTGCATGTTTTATGAGTGAATAAAAACACATTTGGTATCAAAACTGTGGCTACGTCTAAATTAAGAACTCATATTTGTAATGTGACAGTGTCCTCTGGAGCCTCCTAAGCCCCGGTCCACCGGAGGTGGACGGAACGCCCTTTTGGCCGACATCCACAAGGGAGCCAAGCTCAGGAAGGTCACACAGGTCAACGACCGCAGCGCTCCTGCCGCTGATAGTGAGTCCCACAACCTTTCCCTTCACACGTCGACCAAACGGACGTGTGGCCAACCGAGCCACGCACTGTGGAGGAAGCTCAGTTTATCACGGTTACAAAAGATCACTCCACAACCAAAAAGTTACGCGTGAGTCATGAGAAGGCACAGCCATGCTTTCAGAGGAGCGGGGTTTATGTGCGTCAAGACAAAATGTTTCAAAAAGGATAAAAACAAAATACAAAAGTAATGACATAATGGGCAAATCTGAGAGAAATGGCATTGGCTCTTTGGCACAAATCCATGGCAGAAGATCTGTAATCCTACTGAGTTGGGACTCTAAATGTTTTATTTATTATTTTTTTTACAGAAATTGAAAGTTATAGATCAGGTGGTCCAACGCTGGTCCTCGAGTGCCCCTACCCAGCATGTTTTAGTTGTTTCTCTTCTCCAACACACCTGGTTCAATAAAAATTCAATAAAAATCAGGTGTGTTGGAGCAGAGAAACAACTAAAACATGCTGGGCAGCGAACCTCCAGGACCAGGATTGGGCACCCCTCTGAACAATGTGTCTCACCCTAAGCATTTACCTGCAACAAAACCCAGACGTAGATGCAAAAGGGGAAACGGCACCCCTTGTGGCAGGTTTCAGCAAAAGCTTTAAGCACCGTCCACCCTCTCATTTACTCTCTTGTTCATTCACATAGTTCTACCCTGTTGTTATATGTTCAGGTGTTCATTTTCCCAATGTTTTGAGCTGATTCATTAATCGTGTGCTTGGTTTTCACCAGAACCAAAGACAAACACCAGAGATTCTTCTGCTTCATCTCAGGTCACTGGTGGGATGGCACCAGTCGGACCGTCTCTGGGCGAGATGTTTGCTGGAGGGTTTCCCACTCTCAGACCTGCAGGACACAGAGATAAACAGGGCAAGACCCAAGGTAGAGGTGGAGCTTCCATTTCTTCATAAATGAGTGGTTTACTGAATGCTTGTAGCTGCTGTGATGTTTCACTGCCTCCTGTGATTGTCTGAAGTGTCACGATCGAGCTCAGCAGCCTCCCTGAGGCCGCTCTGGAACACGCCCACATCATCAGACCGACCCGGTGGACTGGAGCCTCACAGAACCGCAGAGATCCAGCGACTGCTCACCTCCTCCTCCTCAGCTCCTCCCTCCCCATCTCACAGCAACAAGCACCCACCTCCTTTTCCAGCATCCTCTCCCTTTACACCTCCACCTGCCCCTCCCTCTGCTCCTCCCCCACCTCCCCCACCTCAAGCCTACAGCAAGCCTCCCTCTCTCCCCACCTGCCCTCCACCTCCTCCACCATTCCAGGTCACCAAGCCAACATGGCTACCCATCCAGCACCATGCACCTGTGCCCCATCCCTCCACCCCACCTCCTCCTCCCCCCGGAGATCGTTCCTCTGGTTGTTTCTACTCTCCTCCTCCTTCTGCAGCCATCTCTGAGCCATCCACCTTTATACGCCACAGCCCCCTTGGTCCTCCTCCACCACCTCCACCTCCACCTTTACCAGCATCCTTAACTCCAAGCTGCTCAAACACCGTTGCCCCACCACCACCCAAGTCTGCCCCCGTGCCCTCCTCAGCTATGTGCTCACTGCCACCCTCATATCCCTGCAACGTTCCCACTCGACGGCCACCAGCTGTGCCCAGAAGCTTAGGTAAATTAATATTTGCACAAAGTTGCCTCTCTTTCTCGCACACACACACACACACACACACACACACACACACACACACACACACACACACACACACACACACACACACACACACACACACACACACACACACACACACACACACACACACACGAGTATATGTTTGTTTGTGATTGTTGCGGAACCCTGGAAGATCTGCGTAGTTGTTACGTATTTCTGTTGCTTTGTATCTCTGACGTCTGCCTCGTCTTGTGAGCAGGTGTGGGTCGACTGGCTCCTCCTCCCGCTCCACCGGCACGCTCTCCCACCACGGAGTTGTCCATCCGCATTCCTCCCCCTCCACCACCTCCTCCTCTGCCGCCGTTCAGCCTCAGGAACGGACACCTGAACAGCCTGAGTACGACTGCAGCTGTGAGCTAACACACACTTTAAGAGCCTTTGGGACATTTAGTCCATCTGGATTTTTCTCCTTTTAGATGATTTTGAATCCAAGTTCCAGTTCCACCCAGTAGAGGACTTCCCCCCACCAGATGAATTCAAGGCATACCCCAGAACCTACCCAAGCAAAGAAAACAGAGGTAGGCCCACGTGATTAATTCTCATCTTCTCTTGGAGCTTTGTTCTCATCTGTTTTTTATTTATTTATTTCCCAGCGAACCCCAAACCGCCCGGGATCAGAGCACACCTCAGATGAGTCACTCTTCTTCCAAAAGAAGCTCTTCTAACGGCTCTAGATGACAACAAAACGTGTGTGTGTGTGTGTCCAAGTGTCAAACACGGTCCTGCCTGTTTCTGACAGTGTGACCTCTGACCTTTCTCCAGTGTGGAATGTTTTGTATGTGTGAGGAGGAGGACTGACCACATGATGTCCCTACAACAGCACACACACTCCAACCACACTTTCCTTTCTTCGTTTATCCTCTTTAACGTATTTTACAGTTTTTAACAGATTAGGTGCTCCATTAATAACACATTTCTAGGATTTTATTTTCTTGTAACATTGTCTTCAATATTTAGACAAGATTAGTCACAAAACTTCTAGTTTGAGACCATAGTAGCAGGAGTGTAATAAAGTGGACATTTATTTTATTGTGAAATCAGAAAACATGATTAAATGTGAATTTTTTGGCATTAATCTTCATTATGAAGTGAACTGTGTGTGTTTGTACACAACAGAGTGATATTTATTAGGATTTATTGTGACTGGACTGATGCTGAGATTATTGAACTGTATCCGTTTTAGTGTTGGATGCTAAATAATAAATAAGGTATGTTGTTTCCTCCTTAGAAACAAATAAGTTCTAACACCTAGTAAAACAGCGCCACCTGCTGGTTTTATGTGAAAACACATTACCAAGTAAAATCACCAAATAATTTAAGAATCTTTATGTAAAACAAACAAGACAACAACATTAGGAGCTCGACCCACTTTCTTCTTCCAAGCCTCGTCAGTTCTTCATGTAACAGATTTGACCAGGTGTGGGAACCATTCTTCAGAGGTTCTGGTCCACCCTGACTTGACAGCTTCAGCTCCAGCCATGATGAGAACCTCCTGTTCCACCACATCTCAAAGGTTCTAGACGGGAATACGATCTTGTGACTGTGGAGGCCGTTGGAGTCAAGCGAACTCATGGTCATGTTCTAGAAACCAGTTAGGGATGACCTGAGCTTTGTGAAATGGTGCGTGATCCTGCTGGAAGCAGCATCAGAAGTTGGGCCATGGGGTCAGAGGGATGGACATGGTCAGCAGCAAGACTCAGGTAGGCTGGTTAAACCAGGCTCAGGTGGTGCTGGAAGGGTCCAGAGTGGGACAAGAATCCTGAAACATGGATGGATCTAGGCTTCGTGTTGGTGACAGCCAGAGTAATGATTTACGTTTACTTGCATTACTGTAATTGATGTTTTTTTAGGGTGTGTTTACATACCTGTTTTGAAAGGGCAGGTTCACTAGATGGAGGGTTTTACTTGTTATTTTTTAAATATAATCGTCACTCTGAGCTTCACATGCAGGTTGAATGTGAAATGTCTTCTACAGCCACCTCCTGCGTTAGCTTCTGATAGAAAAGAAATGGTGAAACTCTGATCTAAAGCCTGACAGATCTACTTAGCATCATCATGGACTCGCCCATCTTGTCTCACAGCGGGGAAGGCTGTTGGTTTAGCATCCAGGAGAGAGAGTGAGCACATTTAAGCTAGCAGAAGCTAACTGTTAGCATTAGCAACTCCACCACACAGAACTCCTCCAAGCTTGGGTTATATGTGGAGATAAAACATCGACGTTGCAGAGCGAACAGAGTCGGCGGTGGAGTCATGTTTCTGTTAGCCAATCAGAGATGTCCAACTATCAGGAAACGATACTCCAAATGTGGTCGTCGGAAGCTCCTCTCTGCTTTGTTTCACTTCTAGTTCCTGTAACAGGAGTGCCAGAGCTTTTCTCCCAAAGAGATCGTCTCTCAAAGGATTCAGTCATAGTACAGATCACTTCAGATGTGTTAAAAAATGTGTTACTTTGGTCTTTGTGTCGTTTTTATTTGAAAATAATTTTAGAAAAAACAAATCTGAATAAAACATCAGTTTTATTTACTCATCTTTATCTTTGTCCACAACTTGTAAAAATGGTGCACGTCGTCTCATTTCACAAAGGAAGGTGTGTTTTTAATGGGAGAAGAAACCAAGACAGGTCAGTCTGGATCACCAATTTTCTTCAAAGGTGAAAACAAAACGGGTCTTAGTTTGGGAAACAGAGGCTGACACAAAGCTCACATAAAAGCAGCTTTAGCCCAAACAGGCTTCCCTGTAGCGTTAATCGTGACTTCACAGCTCATCGTGTTTGTACGTGAACTCCCTGGAAGATATGAAGCCGTCCTTGTTCTTGTCCTCTTTGTCAAAAATGTCCTCAGCCACGCTCTCGTGTAGCGTGTCGTTAGGAGGGTAGCCGTAGCGCTCGTACTCCTTCCGCAGGTACTCTTTCACCTGATAAACACAGAGGGCAGAAAGAAGCAGAGAATACACTAAATCCGACCGTGTGCTAATAAAATATTAGACCAATCAGCAGGAGCCATAAACGCTCACAGCTCAGTCAGACATTGCCCACAACGCCATTAAATTATCCCGACTGCCATAGTCAATATCACAATATTACACATGATCACATTTTCTAAATACTGCACCATCTCGTTGCAGATTTCATTTTAACGGGAAAAACTTTAATATGAGCATTTTAAGCCTAAATCTACCAAAGACTGTGAGCCAGCAGCACTGAGAGGACAGTGGTGCCTCTGACCCTCACCTCGTCTTTGGACAGCCTCCAGTCATCGTTGAGGTCCATCTCCTGGAAGGACTCGTGTGACCTTGGACCATTTCTGATTTCAAGCAGCTCAACGATGAAGGTCAGTGTGCTCTCAGGTGGGATCTTACCTGGTCAACAACACAAGAAATCAGCTGAATCTAAATAAAGTTGTCGCGTCTCTACAACTATTCACAATCATAAAGGAAATATTTAGTTGATGGTGTTAATAGCGAGCTCAGACTGTTAGTGTTGTGCTTACCAGGAAACAGTTTTGTCTGCATGCTCCATGCGGAGAGAAAGTAGACTAAAGAAGCCATTATGCAGGCTTGGAGTCTTAACCCAAGAGTCAAAGCAAGACAGAAGAACGTTGGGAAGCAGTTATTTAAAGAGCCGGATTTTCCCAGGCTTCACCACCTTTCCCTTCTTTCCCATAGGCCAGAGATGGAGGGATCACCAGCCTCCTCTTCTCTCCAGCACACATATTCTGCAGGCCCACATCCCAGCCTTTGATTACTTGTCGGATGCCCAGTGTGAACCACATGGCGTCCTTGTCACCAGCACCTTGACTTCGACTGCAGAGGAAAGTAAAAGTTATATCTGAACACATTTAGAGACAGGTGTTTCAGAACAAACTGATGCCGGTAAAAAGTAAAACGGAGAGATGAGACATTATGTTTTTATTGAGGCAAATGAGCGTGTACACAGAACATAACAAAGAGTTTACTGAAAAAACATTTCTACACGACTCCTATAGCAACTCTTCTCTGCTTTTATAGCAGTGCTGTCAGAATATGATTGTGACCAGGGTAGGGCTGGGCGATATGACGATTTTAGACCGTTTTACGATCTACACATCTGACGGTCTGTCATTTTTGAGAGACCTTTTTATCACGATTCACAGCTCTGCTGTTGAAATTCTGCCTCTGAATGAAAAGGGAACTTACCCCAGGCGAATGACACGCCTTTGTTTGACCCTTAACCAATCAGAGTGAGTCATAGTAGTATATTAGTGCCCCGCTTGTTTTCACCTGTGTGTGAACAAACATGGCTTCGGCCGCGGCTGAGAGCGACAACGAGGTTTTCGTTCCGAAGAGGAACGCAGGGTTTCCTTAGCGCGCGGCGCTAACAACTTAGCGACGTGACATGTCTCGGAGAAAGCGTAAAAACACATTGGACGCTTCTTCTGAAGCAGGAAAATAACACCGCTTCTTAAGCAGAGCACAACGTCGCCTCGGCTCGTTCACCCTCTGCCGAGCCGGTACCGGACTGAGCTCGGTCACTAGGTCGTTGGAGCTGCCCCGTGAATGCCTGATGGAAAACCGGCGGGTTTCATCAGACTCGTAGTTTCTTGTTCTTGCTGGGGACCTCCTGTATTTTACCGCTCCCTCCTGCAGTCTTCCCCTATTACAATTTAAAATGATTCTGTAAACTCCGTGATCAATAGAAACAATCTCTGCCTCTGCCAGCTGCAGTAAATGAAGTTTCCAAATAATAAGAGGTGCACCAGAACAGTGAAGCAAAGAAAGATTCCTGAGTTTGTTAGTAATTTTATTTATTAGGTGCATAACCTGTTCTATTTTTCTGTGAATTGAGATCAAATCAGTGCTTCTATGGGTTGTCTTCAATCTGCACTGGAAAATTTTACTTTATTTAGATACTTGTTGCAGAAAATATTCAGAATGCGCAGATTTTTGCTACCACAAGCGATCTCTGGTCCAGCCGCACATCAGAGCCTTATTTGAGCTTAACTATCCACTACATGAGCAACTGGGAGCTACATAGTATTTTGAACATGTTAATGTTTGCACAATACGTTTGCAATTGACATGTTTGCACTTTAAATATGTTTACGATATTAATTTATGTTAAGTTACTTGAAAAACGAGAAAAACTGATTTTTGTAATTGTTTCTCTCAGGGCTTTTATCATCTCTGGTGTGAGTTTAAAATATAAGTGTGTTAGCACTGTGCTGATTATCCCTAATATGAATAAATGTTTATTTATTCAATGTTTCTCTTCTTTAATACGCAATTGAAGTCGTGCTATTCATGGATAAAAAATCGTGATAAAATCGAAATCGTGATGAAATATTTGAAAAATCGTGATATTCTATTTTTGCCATATCGCCCAGCCCTAGACCAGGGTTTTTCCTGGCTCAAACCGAGGCAGAGGGGGTACCATCCTGACCATGCGCCAGCACATGCATGCTCTGCATTCAACTTTTTTAAAAGGCAAAATATTTTTTCGTTAAGTGTTCTAATCTAAGCTTCTGTTGATTAATTTAATATTCCATTTGACAACGTTTCAAGTGAAACAAAACTGGTTTGCTGCTGAAAAATATGAAATAAAACAATAAAATTATGAGGCTGAAATAACAGTCTTATTATAAAAGGCTCAATAATATGCATTAGACTGGTTTTTAGTTCCCTTTTTCCCCATCTGACCTACATTTCAGTAACATTTTAGGTTTGTAGTGAGAACACTCATCTGAGTCAAAATAACACATAAATATATCCAGTAAAATATAATGCATTTCATTAACATGCATTTATGTTGGAGATGGTAATAACGTTTAATTTCTGCTACTAACAATGTAATGGTGGCATGTCTATTATGTCCAGGTTGGAAATAATCCACTTTAAATTATGTTCAAAGATAGAAGCGTTTGAAAATTATATACTAGAACGGCTTGCCTTATCTTGTAGCAGTAATGTGACTCGTATCTGCAGCGGTTCTGATCCATGGCGCTGCAGGATGCAGAATAAACAGGATGGTGGGGACTTTTCATTCACTTGTAGAGTTTAGTCTTTCTTAGATTTACGATCATCATATATTTTTCTGTGCGCCACTTGATTGTGAGACTGCTACCCGTTAGCTTTAGCATTAGCCAATCTGCGTGTAGCTGCACGTTTGATCCCAAACTTTGGACCGGTTCTGCCTTTGTGACTTTGCTGGTTCCTTTATTTTTCTCCACTGCATCCAGATGACCACACTGTGCGCCAGTAAAAAGCATTTTTCTTACACGTAACTTACTTTTGTTCAATAAAGTTCTGGGGAAAATAGTAATTCAAGGATGTTGCACCAGTGCTACGTGTAAAAATAGACAGACATGCACAGACAGCTTTTTTCGTTGCACTGTACATTCCTGCTCTGATATGGAAGAGCCTGGGGTTAAAATCAGGACGTCAGTAGCACCAACCATAGCTATGTACCAACTAGCGAGAAAAGCAATTTTTTTATCTTATTCTGCAGTGGTTTTAGCGCTTTTGGTGCACCGCTGCAGATACAGCGCCCCTGTAGTGGCACAACGTTGCAACTGCAGTTAAAATAACATCCATATAGCTGGGGGCAGAGTGAAATCAGGCTGGGGCGGCACTAAAATAGCTGGAGGCGGCCGCCACGCAAATTTAAACGTAGGTAAAACCCTGGTGACTGAGTAGAGCATAAAAATCAGCTTAAATAGTTGGAGTTTAGATCTGTTTTAAACTCTCTGCATCTTACTTGAGTATGTATTTAGTCCTACAGCATGAACCCGTTTCTCCAGTTCACCGAGTAAATTATTTCTACATGGACCAAATAAGTCATGTTTAGGGTGTTTTTCCAAAAGAGAATGGCACGTTTGAAATCCAGTTAACTTTCCAAACACAAGTTAAGTTTTTTTATAACCATCCCAGCACAAAATATGACCACCTCAGTCAGGTTTACAGTGTTTACTCATCTATGAGCATGAAAATGTTTTATTTCAGACTTCTTTAATATCATGGATACCAGAGTCTTATATGGACAATGCAGACAGCCCTGTATACTGGCAGTGTAGGGCCATGTATAGAGGGACCCAGTATAGCAGTGCCATCCAGTGTGGAACCTGGGTGGCACCCTCCTAGCTACAAGCCAGTAGCACTGGCACTCACCCATCTTCACTCCCTAGTGAGGTCCTCACTGGATCCACTGCAGTTTGCCAACCAGCCGGGCATTGAGGTGGAAGAAGCCATCATCTACCTCCTACACCAAGCTCCGACTCACCTGGAGATGCCTGGAGGCACTGTGAAGATCATGTTTTTTTTATTTCTCCAGTGCCTTTTACACTAAACATCCAACCTGGACCACCAGGAGTGGACCACCACCTGACACAGTGGATATTGGACTACTCACAGAACGCCCATAGTTTGTTAGATCACAGGGTTGTGTCTGCAGTAGGCACCACAGGGAACTGTACTGGTTCCTCTTCACCCTCCAGACTGCAGACTTCTCCACCAACTCCACAGACTGCCATCAACAGAAGTTCTTTGATGAGTCTGCCATAGTTAGCCTCATCACCAGTGAGGACAACTCAAAGTAAAGACTGGGGACATGGGATTTTGGGGACTCATGCCAGCAGAACAATCTCCTGATCAACATGGGGAAAACCAAGGAGCTGCTGGTGGACTTCTGCAGACAAAGGCCCAATGTTTTAGATTGGGGTCCTTACCCCAAGCAGCGGGCTGCCCGCAGAAGTGCCTGACTTTGAATCGGCTCTACTAAAGAGGCTTACTGGCCAATGGCGTTGGTGAAGAAGTGATATATATCGGCCCGATTAATCGGCTAACCGATAAATCGGCCAAGCCCTAGTTAGGATTACGTTAAAGCCTGGCTGGCACTTTCTGAGTGAATGATGGTAAGACTGAGTTTATCTTCTTCCTCTAAAATGTTTGCAGTGATAAAGTCCTGCCCAACAGTTTGTCTTCACTGGCTCCATTTAAGAAGGGTGTCGTTACAAACCTAGCCAAAGTAGCCAAAATGGTACTGCATGTTAGCTTTGGCCAGATTTTCATATCACCCTCCACTCTGTAGCTGCCGGCAGAGAGATTGTAACAGTATCCTGTTTGAGCTGCGACTGCTGCTGTTTCCACATCTTTAAATAGCCCATAAAAAGTGGATTAGTGCAAACGGATCACATCATCCATCTATGGTCATGGCGTAAACATATTCTGGACAGGAGGTTGGCCGTATCTTTCATGCAAAGGGGACAGGAATTGGGGTGGTGGGGTGGGGTGGGGGGTGGTGGTGGTGGTAATTTCAGCATTCTTTAAAGGAGGACTAGGCCATTTTGGCTGGTTTCTAGCACCCCTAGTGTCTGTTTACTACAACCGAAAGCAAAACCTATCACCTCGCAGTGTGGAATATCTCCCCAGCCATCATTAGCGTCTACAGAAGGAATTCATCACAAAATCAAACATATCAGGTGTGTTCATGATGTAAAGCATGCAGGACACCTGCTGGAAATAGACTGCAGTGCCAGGTATGTCAGCTCAATTGTCTAACAGCTGGCCGCCCACCACACTGAAGTTGCAAGTGTGGTATTCTGGCCACAGGGGGTGGTGAGGGTCTGAGTGACTTTTCATTAACGTGGTAAAGGGTATTCTAAGCACATACTGGCTCAAGAAAATGATTTAAAAAATGAAAAAGTTGCATAGTATCCCTTTAAATTGTGACTTTTTAAGTTTTCTTGTTGGTTACTCTTTTTAGAGGGTATTCTCTATTCAATTTCATTGAATCATATCATACTGTTTACCTGCTCCAACACTGCTGACAGTGGCTCTCAAGGACCAGAATACACACACACACACACACACACACACACACACACACACACACACACACACACACACACACACACACACACACACACACACACACACACACACACCTTAGTATACTTGTGAGGACCCGTCATTGACTTACATTCATTTTGGTGATCCGCTATGCCTAACCCATACCCTACCCAGTGGGGTTCTATTCATAGCCCCTTAGCCGAACCTAAAGGGCAACACCCAACCTCCGAAACCAAGTTTTCGGGTTTTCTTCACCGTGAGGACATGTCCCATTGTTAGACGTGAAAAGTATATTTTTATATGCACGCACACAGCAGCTGCTGGCTGAAAGGGTTAAATAATGCACGATCTCCAGACAAAACAGGAAACACACCTGGTGTAAAATATGGTCCCGTTTTCAAAGAAGCCGTCGTGATGCACCAGTAACATGTCTCCGTATTTGGACTTCCGGTGACAGATGAAGGGTCTGTGCAGGACCTCGGTCTTTACCTCGGCTTCAGGCAGCTTCCCGCCGCTGACGGAGGCTACGGCGGGCAGGCAGAGCCAGCTGAGCACCAGCACCAACATACCGGCAGCTTCAGCTTCACACACACGGGAACAGGAGGACAACCATGTCCTCTACGTGGCAGCGACGCTGCTTCAATCAAGTCTCCGCACGACGCTGTCCTCTGATTGGCTGATTCTCTCACGGAGCACCGCCCATGACTACTCATAAACCCTAAAACCAGTGTAGTTCCTCATTGTTTTGTGTTTTATTACATTCGCATCCATGCAGAAGATGATCAGCTGATTAGTTCTGCCTAAACTCTTCATGCTGCACCCCTGGATGTTTTTTTAGTTTGCTACATTCAGTCGTATTTCTCAGGCTGTGTACACTCTCCTCTAGTTGTACTTTTAAAGCAGTTAAACAGCAGTTAGAGCAACATTATGCATTTACATGCGTTATCAAAAGCCATACATATGTTTCATGATACATTAAACAGGAATCAATGCATTCACACCTCTGATCCAGCCACACCTGTAGCTGTTTTCACTTGTGTCAACATAGCTTATTTTTGCATGAACATTCAGCAAGTCGTATTTTGTAGGTTTTTCATATAGTACAATCATCACATTGTTAAAATGAGTTCCCACTAATCCCCAATCCCCCCCACCCGTAACAGTGCTGCAGCCGACCACAAACAGCAGTTCTCTGAGACAAGTCCAGGTCTGATCCTCCAGGGAGACAGCTGGTTTAAAAGCTGACTTTCATTACTGTCCATTGCTCAAAGCAAACACAGGAACTCTCTTTAGTAATTCCTGTCTCCAGTTGAAATCAGAGGCTTTTTTTCCCCTCCACAATCAGAAAGAGCAAAATGCACATGACCATTTGTGATGTTCTGGGATCAGGTGAAGTTTTTGCAGCCAGTTGAGTCGATGAGGCAGGAGTCTGTGCATCGGAGCTGCCCAAAGGAGCTGATGAAAAGAGAATGTTTATTTGATTTAAAAACTATAGTGCAGCACTTTTATTTTAAATTGTACTTTGTTAAATATGTGTGTTTACCAATGTCTCACAAAGAGAAATAATATATAGCTATTTTGCAAACGTGTTTCATAAGAAATACTATGTTGCTGAATTTCTGTGAACATACCCTGCAAGATAGGATTTACAGGTCTGATAACCAAAGTCTTTGCCATCACACTCCTCCATCCCTTCATGTCGGTAACCGTCTCCACAGTAGGCCCACTTACAGTCTGCAAAGGCAAGAAAACAGCAGAGGGATGAGAAAGAAGCACGTTAGTCATTTCTTTGGCACGGCGTCTGCTTCCAGTGATGCCAGTGCAGCATTTTTCTGTTAATTAAATTGACCAGAAGCAGAAAGAAGTGAGGGGTTGGCAGGAAAGGGGTGGGGGTGGGGGGGTATTAATTAAACACCAAAGAAAGGTTTCAGTGTGTGCCGCTCTCCACGTGGAACAGTATCTGTGGGGTTTTGGTGAGGTTCTGCAGGTGGGATGTTTGGAACTAGGATTGGGACAATATTACATGTAACTTGTACCAAGCTTTGTAACCTGTAACACGTTTTGTAACTGTAACTTTCATTTTGTAGCAAGTAATTCTTGTTTTGTAACTGTAACTTTCATTTTGTAGCACGTAATTCTTGTTTTGTAACATGTAACTTTCGTTTTAGAGAACAATGTACAAGTTTCAAATCACAGCTCTCAAAACACACATCTCAGTCTACAGTTACAAAACTTAAGTTTACAAGTGCAAAACATTTTGTCCCAATTCTAGCTTCCTTCCCAAAGAACCAATGACAGGCTTTGTCTGACCAGCCAATCACGAGTCTTGGATTCCTGTCAAAGACAATTCCCTTTGGAAGCGAGCTAGAATTGGGACAAAATGTTTTGTACTTGACGACTTGAGTTTTGTAACTGTAGAGTGAGATTTGTGATTTGAAACTTGTACACTGATTTTTTCCTGCAAGTTACAAAATAAAAGTTTCATGTTACGTACCAAAGTTACATGCTACAAAGTTACCTGTCACAAAACAAATACTACGTGTTACTAAATGAAAGTTACGTGTTACAAAACGAAAGTCATGTGTTACAAAACATGAATTACATTGTACAAAACAAAAGTCACAGATACAAAAAAATGTTACAGGTTACAAAACTTGGTACAAGTTAAATTTAATATCGTCCCAATCCTAGTTCCATAGTATTCAGCCAAAAGCAGCCCAATGCTGAAGTTCGAGGCTGATTGTCTGTTCAGACCACCAGCGACACTGATCTACATCACTGAATATTTCTGTGTGTAACTCACTTAGACATGCGTCAGTGACAATCTGGTTTCCGTCGTCACACTCCTCTCCGTGCTGGGTCTGCACCTTCCCATCACCACACACACCCACTCTGTCTGGGACTTTCTCCGTAGACTGGAACGGCTGGAATGGCTGGGAAAGACGTGAAAATATTTATAATGAAAGAGTTATCTTTATCTAAAAATGTGGCTGTAATTACCTGTATGGGGGTCCAGCCATCTTTATCTTTAAAGTAAAGCATCCTTTGATCCTTCCTCAGGGCTATTGCATTTTCTACATGCAGACGTTTCATTTCTTCCTCACTGTTCACCACAAAGATCTACAGAGCAAAGAACAGAAACATGACGAATAACTCGGTAATGCTCCAAGTTCAGTCAGTCCTGTCAACATCCTACCGGAGTGAGCTTGTTGCTGCCACGCCTTTGGGTGTAATAGTTCCCAAATGGAGCGTTGTTGCCTCTGAGGACAGCATCACAGTCACAGCGGCCCGGCGGGCCGGGCAGGCCCTTCTCCCCCTTCTCCCCCACCAGAAACAGACCTGCAGGAAAATACATGGATGTTACGAAATGTGCGTGCGTGTGTGTGTGTGTGCGTGCGTGTGTGTGTGTGTGTGTGTGTGTATGTGTGTCACAACACCTGAGGCAGGAGGTCCCGGTGGACCAGGGAGGCCATTAGAACCAGGAGGCCCTGGAGGGCCCATGACTCCCGGGGTTCCCGTGTGGCCCTTCATACCCTGCACAAACCCAAAAACATCCCACCTTCGGATCACAGACACACAAAAGGTGGCCTGTGTGTGTTACAGGTTGTGTTTCCACCTGTTTGCCTCTCTTTCCTGGTCTTCCAGTTGGTCCCCTCTTCCCTGGAACACCCAGCTCTCCCTTTGGGCCCAGTTCACCCTTAGGACCGAGCAAAGTTAATCAGGTTTAATCCAATCTGTGTGCTCTCCTATTGAACGTGCCATCCATACCTTTTGTCCCAGCATGCCCGGCAGACCAACGGAGCCCTGAAGTGAGAGAACACCAGAGCACCCAGTAGGCAAATGGAATCAGCTGATTTTTAGCTTAACTGCAGCTCAACATTCCTAGAAATCTGTAACCAGAGCATCTCTGGCAGGAACTTGGGACAGGAATCAGATTCTGTATAACAGTGTATGAAAAACTTATTCATCAACATTTGGAGGAGCTGATGGCGGATACTAGGATCTGATCAGGTTGTCTCATCACAACAGATAAGAAAAAAAAATTCTCTCACATCCAAAAATAAAAGCTCTAGATGTGATTACACGGCACTTTCCTGATGGTTTCTGACACTTACCTTGTCTCCTTTTGGTCCTGATGAACCAGAGTCACCTCGCTCACCCTTGTTTTAGAAAAGAGAAGATGAAAGGGTGAAACGGTGTCATATATAAATACCTGTTTAAGCTTTCCTGTAAACATACCTTATCACCTTTGTAACCACGTGACCCCTGAAGGGACAGACATGCATCATTAATGTCCGTGTGTGTCTTCTATGATTGTGTTTCACATTCAGATGTTACTGACCTTTGTCCCTGCTGGACCTCGGAGTCCTGGTAAGCCCATGAGTCCTTGGTCACCCCTCTCACCCTGGAACAGGTCAAGTTTTACTGAATGGCACGCAATATGAAGCTGTAGCATAATAAGTGTTTGTTCCAGGAAGTAGACTGCACCATTTCTCATAAGAAGGGGATCTGACATTATAGAAGGCAACGGGAGACCTTTCCTTTATTTATGTAGTGCACGTAACATCCTTTTTGCTTGGACTAATGTCTGACTGTAACTTAGAGGCCATGACACGTACCTTGGGTCCCTCTGGACCAGGCTGTCCTGGAAGTCCTGGTTTTCCTGGAAGGCCTGGAGCGCCGGTGCGACCCTGTAGAGACACAAATATCAGAAATATTATTGATGCATTGTCTGCTATTGTTTTTAATACAGTCTCTGCAAAAGAGACTGAAACCTTTAAACAAAACAAGGCAAAAAACCTGTAAACAAGCCTCATCAGTATTAGGGCTGCTGGTTAATGGGTTCTGGATCAGTTTCAGGCTGGTGTCTGACCTGTGCAGGTTGAAAAGTGGCCTCACATCTCATTACACCTGAACTGGCCTTCTACAGATGCTGCATGCTAACGAGATGATTTATGTTTATGTTTATTTATTTGGCAGACGCTTTTATCAAAAGTGACTTACAATTTATAACCTATAGGGCATGTTGTGATCTGTGGGGGAAACCGGAGTACCCAGAGGAAAACCCACACATGCATGGGGAGAACACGCAACTCCACGCAGAAAGGCCGCCTTTGTGCTGCGAGGCAACAGTGCTAACAACTGCACCACCAGCCCATTTCCTTTAGCTGCCTGTGATCAAAGCTGCAGCCTGTGGTGGCACAGGGGAGCTACTGGGTGTGTGAGGAGTGATTTATCACAAAAAGCAAAAGCACTTAGGAAGATTGAACTACACAAGCGGAGGGGCTGGATCAGCAAGACTTGGGTTCAGCACTGGAGACCGGGCCAAGAACCACAGAAAAGTGCAGGAAAAACGCAAAGGAGAAAACCGGGGGCTGATGGAGAGGTGAGGAGGATTAAAATGACAGGATGGCATGATAAAACCACTGAGACTATTGTAGCAAGAGCCATTTAGCAGCTGAGAAAGATATTCTGAGCACATCAATAGTCAAATCGGATCACAGTGAATGAGAATGCATGGAAAGCAAAAGAGCGGCAAAGAGTGGGAACAATAAAATATCCCGACCCCATTAATCCAAGGACATGCAGACTAGAGATTCAGGAGAGGAGGAGCTGCTCACCTTTGACCCTGGACGTCCAATTTCTCCCTGGAAGAGGACAGAGAGAAGAGATGCTGTTGGAGCACCGATGGACACAAGGACAAACCTCTCAGTTGAAAACAGCATTAGAGGCATAAATCGTAAAGACACACACCTTTTCCCCTTTTGGCCCTCTTATCCCAGGTAATCCACTTTGACCCTGAAAATGACGCCACATTTTATATCCGGCATGCATTTGTCAGAAGATCAATCCTAAAATCTGATTTTATCTCTACCCTTCGATGCATCCTGATTTAATTAGACCAATGTAAAGATATTCCACAGTCAGGCCTTACCTCCGGGCCTCTTGGTCCTGCAGGTCCTGGAGGTCCAGGAGAACAGTCTGGATGCACAGCATTTTCTCTTTCCTGCTTCGCACCTCCTAAAACAGTTGGATCTAACAGGCTGATAGCCTCCTTCATTTAAAAGGTTAGACACGACAACCAAAAACGTACGTCAGTTTGGGATGCAAATGTGGAAGAAGGTGTGTTTGACAGACTTACAGAGCTGCTGCCATGCTTCCACAGCTCTGGAGGAGGAGGAGGAAAGAGCAGTGGAGGAGGAGGAGACATTAGACAGCAGGGGTCAAACCTCAGCGGTCCATCCAGAAACCTAAAGACTGAGAAGAAAACAGCGGAAGGAGCATGCACCATCTGGTTTCCCTCTTCTAAGCATCAGTCCTGCTACATGCAGATGGAATCGTACCTGAGCGGGACGAGAGGACGCTGTCCATGTGGGAATGTCGGGATGAGGTCCATGCAGGACCCAGGAGGATATGGAAGGACACCGCTATTTTCACTAGGTCCATGATGCTGCCTTCCACACACACACACACACACACACACACACACACACACACACACACACACACACACACACACACACACACACACACACACACACACACACACACACACACACACACACACACACACACTTATTTAGGTTTCCTGACAGCCCCTGGCAGCTGTCATTTTCCTTCCTCCCCTTAAGGGTGTCACCATTTCATCACTTCTGCCCACCAGTCATCTGCCTGCCTTTCTGTCTGTCTGCCTTTCTGTCTGGCTGCCTGTCTGTGTGACAAAGTTGCAGAAGCTCCACACTGCAGCAGATGCAGCCACCGCTGTAAAGCAGCCGCCAGCCAGAATTAGACCAAACCAGCCACTCACTCACTCACTCACTCACTCACTCACTCACTAACTCACTCACTCACTCGAAGCTCTGATTTCAGAGTAAATAGTAATGGTGAATACCTGCAGAGAATAAGATCTACCATCTTTACCAAGAACACCCTGTCCTGGTGATTAAAGCACCATAACACACTCCTCCTTACCTTCCAGCTGAGCTGTGGCGCACCGGCACACGCGCTGCTCACACCTAAACGAAACGTGCGCTCCACCGAACCGAAGCGTCAAGTCTGCAAGGATAATAAATTGGATCGACTTCTGACCAAGCTCCTTTCTCCTCCGCCGATCATAAATAACACAGCTGAGGATGAAGAACCTTCTGTCTTAATATTTTAACCCCCCCTACCAAGCTTCTAAATGCCCAGCAGAGACCACTGACTGGTCCAGGTCCGCTCAGTCCCAGCGGGTCCTCTGGATCAGCAAATGTTGGTCTGATCTGGACCGACTCCAGGACAGCTGGCTGCATCGCTGGAGAGAGGCTGACATTTTTAGCGCTGGCCTGGCACGGTTTGAGTCCGCGTCTATGATTAGTGGCGCCCTCTGGTGGACTCGTTAAATCACGTCAGTAATAACAACAACAACAACAATATTATTATTATTATAATTATTATTATTACTGATAATAACAACAACAATAATAACAACATTATATAATAATAATAATGTTAGGCTCACTGGTAATGACTTCTGTAGCTTTGGGGCAAAAGTGGCAAACATTAAGATAATAATAAACTTCATATCAAGCAAAAAGAGGATGGTTTATGGCTTTATCAAATATATAAATGATAATTTATTTTGTATTTCATTGACTCACTATCAGATTTATTTTACAATAAAAGAAAATCATTGTTCTTGCTCTTGTAAATTCATAGAAAATAAAACTTTTTCCTGTTAATTTCAAAATAACCTTGGCCGTGACTGATAAGGAGGACAGTTGTTCTGCAATGCTGACGACTCATTGGACATTAAAGGTGTTCACTTTAAAAATTAGAAGTTCCACCTAAAACATGGGGGGCAGACAGGTTAAGAGGAAGCTTCCATAGGTGTGACCAAGTCACTGCTTTGCAAGTCACAAGTCTTTCCAGTCAAGTCTCGAGTCAAGTACAAGTCAAAGACAATCAAGTCCAAGTCGAGTCCAAAGTCAATGATGTGGAAGTCCAAGTCAAGTCCAGTCCTTAACTTTGAATTTTCAACTCATAATCAAGTCATCTGTCCAACTTCACTTTAATGACAACGATAATAAATAGATCGCAGAAATAAAGATTATTAAAGCTTCATTTATTTGCTCAGACAAGCAGAAACTGAAACTGATTCTTAGCAAAGTGCTGCCGCATTTAGCAGTAAATCAAACCCAGAACGAAGACTGATTCATGATTTTTGTCCATGTCGGGCCACTTTTGTGCTAAAATATCAAATATGCTCAAGTCATCATCAAGTCAACAGATGCAAGTCGATTCAAGTCGCAAGTCATTGGCGTTCAAGTTTGAATCAAGTCTGTAAGTCTTTATAGAGTTTATCAAGTCAAGTCAGAAGTCATTAAAATAATGACACTAGTTTGACGAGAGTCCAAGTCATGTGACTCAAGTCCACAACTCTGGAAGCTTCTGACAGCAGGGCATGTGACGTACGAACAGCTGGAACACAACTAACTAACTAACTAACTAACTAACTAACTAACTAACTAACTAACTAACTAACTAACTAACTAACTAACTAACTAACTAACTAGCCTAGTCTGGCTCAGTTGTGGTTGAATGTAATACCACGGCGCCACCTCTGTTACCTGGTTTCTACCAATTTCCCCCCTTTTTTTTCCTTTCTTCTTTTCCTCTATTCTGTTCTTTTTCTCATTTATTCCTTACTCAGTTCTTTCATTTTTCTCTACTCTGTTCTTTTGCTCTTCATTGATACGACCCAACAATCGGAGGGGAGTTCTTGAGTGACCTGCGCCGGCCCGTGCACTGCCAGTGAATCCCTAATCCAAACTGTTTCGGTCAATGGACTGATTCAGGGGGATCTCACTGAGTTACATCTACTAACTAACTAACTAACTAACTAACTAACTAACTAACTAACTAACTAACTAACTAACTAACTAACTAACTAACTAACTAACTAACTAACTAACTAACTAACTAACTAACTAACTAACTAACTGTTCAACTGCGGTTTGGAGCAAACTTTAGCCTCTAAGCCATTGTCTGATGGTTTGGAAAATGATGCCTGCCTGAGTTGTTGTTAGCGACGAGTTCACACCTGGAAGAGGCAAAAAGGATGAGAACATGTATGGTAAGCAGAGTGTTCTCATATACTCTAGAGCAGGGGTGTCAAACTCATTTTAGCTCAGGGGCCACATTGAGGGAAATCTAGGCTGGACCGGTAAATAAAAAAAACAACTTCAGATTGTTCTCTTTGTTTTAATACAATCAATATAAAACGAGGCTGGAGCCTGAGGACAGTGTAGTACAAGTACAACACCTGAAGTGTACTTGAAAATTTGGAGAAAAAAAAATCAACAAATAAAAAAACATTCCTTAGTGATTCAAAGAGCTTACAGATCACATGGCAAGATCAGTTTCCTGCAGCACTTAAAGTATATTTGACTCATTTTACTTAACATCTTTTAGCTTTCACCAGCACATCAATATCAGAAGTCACATCCTGAGTGGCAGCCAACTTCAGGATGTGATTCAAGTTCTTGTGTGAGCCTTGAGCGCAGCTTTGTTTTATTTATACTCATTACAGAGAAAACTTGCTCACAATGATACATTTATTTTCACTCTACATTGTAAAGTATGAAAATAAAGTTTACACAAACATCTCACGGGCCGGATTTAACCCGCTTGCGGGCCGGACCCGGCCTGCGGGCCGCATATTTGACACCCCTGATGTAGAAACAAGCATTATCTTTCTGACATCATAAAGAAACAAGCATTATCTTTCTGACATCATAAAGAAACAAGCATTATCTTTCTGACATCATGTAGAAACAAGCAGTCTCCTTCTGACATCATAAAGAAACAAGCATTATCTTTCTGATATCATGTAGAAACAAGCAGTCTCCTTCTGACATCATAAAGAAACAAGCAGTATCTTTCTGATATCATGTAGAAACAAGCAGTCACCTTCTGATATCATGTGGAAACAAGCAGTCTCCTTCTGACATCATAAAGAAACAAGCATTATCTTTCTGATATCATGTAGAAACAAGCAGTCTCCTTCTGACATCATAAAGAAACAAGCAGTATCTTTCTGATATCATAAAGAAACAAGCAGTATCTTTCTGATATCATGTAGAAACAAGCAGTCAACTTCTGATATGTGGAAACAAGCAGTCTCCTTCTGACATCATAAAGAAACAAGCATTATCTTTCTGATATCATGTAGAAACAAGCAGTCTCCTTCTGACATCATAAAGAAACAAGCAGTATCTTTATGATATCATAAAGAAACAAGCAGTATCTTTCTGATATCATAAAGAAACAAGCAGTATCTTTCTGATATCATGTAGAAACAAGCAGTCACCTTCTGATTTCATGTAGAAACAAGCAGTCTCCTTCTGACATCATAAAGAAACAAGCAGTATCTTTGTGATATTATGGCAAGCCAAATGAGCATTTATTCTGATATCAGGATATCAGCCAGAATTGTCATGAACATGTAAGCCATTTCTGTCCACTAGTTAACTAGTTAGCCATGTTTGTGTCAACTAGTTAAATAGTGACAGCCTAAATGTCAACTAGTTAACTAGTAAGGCCTAAATTCTCTCTAGTTAACTAGTTAAAATGTTTCATATCTTACTAGTTAACTAGTATTGCTCAGTGTGTTCACTAGTTAACTAGTGGACAGATCAATGTCCACTAGTTAACTAGTTAAAACACATTTAGTTTTTACTAGTCAACTAGTAAGGTACAAAAACTCGTACTAGCTGACTACTGAATGTAAAAATCCCACTTGTTAACTTTGCCCAATTTGGCCAGCTGCTTGAGCATTAATTCTGATATCTTGTCAACAGGTCAACTAGTTAACTAGTGAGGGTCAAACTGTACACGCTAGTTAACTAGTGAACACATTTTGATCTTCACTAGTTAACTAGTTGACACAAAAATGGCTCATTAGTTAACTAGTAAAGGCCAAAATGCATACCAGTCAGCTAGTTGAAGGTATTTGTGTCTCACTAGTTAACTAGTCAGGGTCAAAATGAGCCCACCAGTTAACTAGTGGGAGACGGAAATGTTCACTAGTTAACTAGTGAACACATTTTGGCTTCACTAGTTAACTAGGTGACACAAAAATGGCTCAATAGTTAACTAGTAAAGGCCAAAATGCATACCAGTCAGCTAGTTGAAGGTTTTTGTGTCTCACTAGTTAACTAGTGATGGCCAAAATGTGCAAACCAGTTAACTAGTGACAGAAGAAATGCCCACTAGTTGACAAGTGAACACATTTTGGCTTCCTAGTTAACTAGGTGACACAAAAATGGCTCACTAGTTAACTAGTAAGGGCTAAAATGCATACCAGTCAGCTAGTTGAAGGTTTTTGTGTCTCACTAGTTAACTAGTGACAGTTCAAAGTGTCCACATGTTCACTAGTGAAGGCAAAACTCCTAACTAGTTAAGTAGTTGGAGTAGGTCAGTGCCACTAGTTAACTAGTGAACCATTAATGACTCACTAGCTAGCTAGTTGATTGTAGCAGGCTCACTAGTTACCTAGTTGATGCATCCATTGTCCAAACTAGTTAACTAGTGAGGACATAAATGTATACTAGTAAACTAGTTCAAGCCTACATTCACACTAGCTAGCTAGTTGCACAGAATTCTAATTAGGAGGCAGAGAATTTCTCAAATTAAGACTCTCTATTGGCTCCCTGTGTCAAAATAAAATATGACAACCAATCACAGTGCGGAATTTTGCAAAATCCCACCCCAAACATTTGCATGTGGCACACAAGTTAACATGCTGGCCAGAGGAACCTCAGCTAGTAAACTAGTAGTGGCTTCAGTGTGACACTTACATGTAAACTTGTGAAGGCGGAACTGCTCACTAGTTAACTAGAGAGGGTACAAATGTCCACTAGTTAACTAGTGAGGTGCAAAATAAGTGTCACTAGTTCACTAGTGGGCCCCAAAACGCCCACAAGTTAACTAGTAAGGTGCGGATATGCTCACTAGTTAACTAGTGAGGTGCAGATTTGCTCACTAGTTAACTAGTGCACCCTTAAGCGCCCACTAGTTAACTAGTAAGGTGCAAAAAAGCATCACTAGTTGACTAGTAAGGTGCAGATATGCTCACTAGTTAACTAGTGGGCCCCAAAACACCAACTAGTTAACTAGTAGGGTGCGGATTTGCTCACTAGTTAACTAGTGAGGCGCAGATATGCTCGCTAGTTAACTAGTGATGTGCGGATTTGCTTACTAGTTAACTAGTGAGGCACAGATATGCTCACTAGTTAACTAGTGAGGTGCGGATTTGCTCACTAGTTAACTAGTGAGGTGCAGATTTGCTCACTAGTTAACTAGTGAGGTGCAGATTT